GCACTTTACACCTGCACTTTGTACACACAGACACAATGGGTTTTTATTATAGCAACTTTCAAAGTAGTGAACATAGGCAGAAGGAAGGAGCTTCGGGTGCCCCTTAGGGTCACCTCCCTCACCACCACCAGTGTGAATAGTAAACAYGCAGTGACCCCAGCCACCATAACATTTTATTATTTATTTTATTTTAAAGCAGTGTCATAATACCCTGAGTACCCATTAATAATTGAAACGTGCACAGTGGACATCTACAAGAACATAAAGGGCAAGCAAGAAACTAGGTATAATCAACATGGCTTTAGGAAAGCAAATAAAACTTGACCAACCTGATTGCCTCCTGCTACTAAATAGCTGACTATTTAAGTATGGGCAGGGTAAATGAACTGCTAAAGGTTTGAAAATGGGCTGGATCACTAGAGTGAGATTGAGAGTTACCCGTCTGGATAGCAGCCATCCTGGACCTGGAGTCGGTGCCAAGTTAAACATGAGCTGACAATGTCATCTCTTTGCAAATGAGGCAAATGGTGTTTGGAAGAGTCTCATCAGGAGAAAATAAAATAAAATAAAGAACAGCTATAATCCCTCTTTATTTAGCATACGGGAAGCTAACCATGGAATACTGACTGGTTCWAGTCTTCAATCCCCAGTTCAAGTTGGAGATGTGGAGAAACTGAGGAAGGCTACAAAGTGGAGGGCAAACAAGCAGGTAAGCGCATGACCTACAARGAGAACAGGACAGCTGGGCTAGTTTAGTCTGGAGAAGTGGATGCTGCAGGKCAAATTAATACCAGCCTACAAGTTCTTGAGCAAGAGTTACAAAGGTGAAGAAAACAAATTCTTCTCAGTTGTGGCACATGGTAAAATAAGATAAGCCACAAATTGTGGTTTGAGAGTTAACACTGAAAATTAGAAAAAAACTTGCCCAGGAAGATAGTGCAATACAAGGACAGGTTACCTAGAGCCATTGCAGCATCTCTTGGCATATTCTTGGATATTTTCAAGACTCAGGAAGGTAATAGTGTGACTGACCTGATCTACTGTTGATGCTTTTAGTGGGAGGTTGGTCTCTTCCCAAAACATTTCTTTAAATCTCTGATTCCATTACATGAGAAAAAAATCTGATTTGATTTCATTATATGAGAAAAAAAAACTCTTGGAGAAGAGATATCTGCAGTTAAAGGCAGGAATAAACCCTGTCTGTCCCCAGKGTAAGTTTAGTACTATATTCCAGTGTCCTGTTCCAAGGACAGCAGGAGTATTCAACTTGGGATGAAATTCAGATTTCTCCAGAGTCCAGCCCTGCTTTCACTGACTGTCAAAATCCACTGGTCGAAATTCAGAGGTGATTGTGCYATCGTAGAGCTGGCCCTACTCAGAAACTTAGAGTTTACCTTATGTYCCACTGGACATATATCAGTTCTCTATCTGGCACTCAGGGTGGACCATTCTCTTCTTTTCCTTGGCAGGAAAGGAAAATCTTTTCCACAACCAGCAAGGGATCTTCAGAATTCRCTGCAAGTTGCCTAGCTTTGTCCACTGAGTCTTTTTTTCATTCCCTCATCTTCTATATTTCCTACCTTTCCTCTCTCTCAAGAGACTCATAGCAATGAGATTCCTCTCATTGCTTTGCAACTTTGCAAAGCTGCAATTTGAAGCACACCGATCCAGGGCAGGTAGTAGTTTCCTGTGAATAATAAATATAATTCATARCATCTTCCGTAGACACAGAATACTTCAGTAACATAAATCATCTTGAAAGCCTAATGGGCATAAAGCCATCCGTATTTCCTCCCTTTTTGAGATTTTACCCAACTTCAGTCATTGCTGCAGAAGTTAGCCTGATATCAGCTCTGGGTTTATTTGTATTGACAGGACAATAAAATTCTTATCTATGGCTATCATTGTCTCCTTTAGGTCTTCACTTGATTGTGGAAAAAATCAGTGTAGGCAAGAGACTAATGATGAAGAGAAAAAGATTACAAACATAATGGYCTGTGAATGCTGTTTATGGTTTGTCATCATTACAGATGGTATTTTCTTGCTTGTCCTCTTAGCTTTATCTCTCATAGCCAGAAGTGTTGAAAAGGTAGGGGTTCTAGGTAGAGCTAAAGATTACATTTCTACTAGAACAGAAAAAAAAGAAAAAAGATTATTCTTCCATCTGACCTTTTTTATTTCAAGAAAAAAAAAAAAAGAATAAAAAACAAGAACCCTTGAGGCTGATTGAAGATGTGAGCTTTTTCATTGACAGTATTTTATTTTAGGATTGAAAAAGTGGCTAGGCAAAATATCCGTGAGGCAACAGAGGCATTTCAGCACCAGCTCTGTCCTGCCCCACTGATGTAATTTCTAAAGTCACAGTTGGACACAGTCAAGAGGCAACTTCATCACTTGGTGATCAACCCGCAGAGCATTTCACCATGGGTGCAGTCCCATGATGCAAAATCAGGTAAGACAAATTTGGCCTTTGGCTAAAAGTATTTGCATTTATCCATCTCATTTTCCCTGAAGGGGGTTAGGAGGCACTCACGTGAGCTATTCTGCCAGCTGCTGAGCTCGGTGAGCATTTCCAGCAGGCATCCACAACCTGAACATCRCTGCAGTCTCTTCCATCACAGCAGCTTTCTGGATGGTGAATGCTTTCATACACTCTGCCCTATGTTGTATAAAAATAAATGGCCCTTTTAACTGTGAGAATAGTATGAAATGATAATGCTGTCTTTTTTTTTTTTTTCTTTTTGTTAGAGCTGTTTTACAYGAAGAAAGAAGTCCGTATGCAGTCAGACTCATGAAGGATGCATGTGTAACCATCATGGTTATTGCCTAAAGACACATTTGGGAATAGTCACAAAGTAATCATAGAACACACACACCTTAATTTGTGAAATTCTCATAGATCCGTGGAAATGCCTCAAGTCAAAATATAAAGTCAAAATAGTCAAATTTAAATAATCCATGCTGAGATCTAGAAAAAGAAGGATTTTTTTTCTAAATTTAAGATTTTTTAAAAAGTATATTCTAAATATTAATGCATATATGCATACACATAAAAAATATTTTATTTAAAATTGAAAAAATCATTCCACTCAGCTTGAAATTAATCATCTATTTCCCAAATTTCTTCCAGATTTTTTCACTCAGTTCAGGCAGCAAAACAAGAAAATCAGTTCTTCGTGTAGCTCTAATTATGTAAGATGTTTTCMACAACACCTTGCAACATAAAAATGCCTTTCTGTGAGTTTGCTACTAGGTTCATTTCTTGCCCAGAGCTCTTAGAAACTTATCTGGGGCATTTGTGGGTGTAGCACCTGGAGGATGAAGATGTGTAAAGCTTGCATACAAGTATTTGTTTTACTAAATAGGACTCTAACAATGATAACTTATTTTGGGAGAAAATTCAAGACTATATAAAGGGAATGTATGAAATCCAATACGAACTGAAATGATTTTAGTTTCTAATAAAGTCCAAGAAAAAAAGATGGATGGGAGGATGCAAGGAAGAAAAGAGAAATTCTTTCGTCCTCGGTCAAAAGCCTTTCTTTGAGAAGAATTAGATTCATGGATTAAGACTGATGACAAATGGATAAAACTGACTGTTCAATACATGTATACACACACACACACACAAAAAGCTCAATAAATAGCCCAAGCAGTAGGAAAAAAAAATCACAAATTCATCTTGTAATGATTTCATTGCCCTGAGATGTTGTATATCCCTGTCAGTGTTTGTGTGTACATGGTGTGTGTGTTTAATATCTATTCTTGTACCTAGAAAGTGTGAGGGAGGAAGTCCATTTGGATATATTTTCATACAATTAATAATAATTTGGAGTTTGTGTTTTTCTTATGCCAAAATTGTGCCTGACAGATTTTGGAGCTATCCACTTGCAGATATTATTCCAAGTCTGAATTGCTCTGATTTTCCTGATTTTCTCTTCCCTTTGAAACAAGGTCAGTTCAAATGATGCTATCTGCTTCACTTTTGTCTTCATTCAATGAAAAGTGGTCTATGCTTTTTTTAACAAGATTGCTTGGGATCCTGCCTTAAGATGGCTTCAGTTTTCCAGAATGGCCAAGGCTCTGTGTACAGTTTGGTTCATTTAGGTCAGTGGGAAGACTTTTATTGCTTTCAATGGGATTTGGATCAGGTTACATGATGCATGTCTTACATGATGCATGTCTTACACGATGCATGTCTTACACGTGTTTGCTGCGGTGAAATAAGTCAACTTTCACAGCAGTAGCATCTAAGGGACTACAGTGAGTGCCTCTTCTAAGCACAGAAAATAAGCCCAGGATAGCAGATTTTGCTTGGGAGCAAGTGCTTTTTTATTAATGGTGACTGCCCTATATAACATATCTTGAGTGTCAGTGTGGCACGAGTTTTTCTGATTCAGACTTTCCCAGCAGACAGCTCATCTGAATATTTAATATGGTGCTACAGGATTCCCTCCTCCTGATTTTGAGTCCTCATTGACATACTTTGGGCATTTCATTGCCATCAATAGATCTGCTGCAGGATTCTGAGTCAAAAAAAAAAAAAAAGAAGTCTTTTATATAATCATGTTTTTTTGCAGCAGCAGCTTCCAAAAGAGGCAAAAAACATTATAGCATGAAGCCTGGACATCTTCCAGTTTGGGTGTTTTGTTGGACTGGCTTTTGTGCGTCTTTTTTTTTTTAGCCACATAGGTACATTTCTTCGCATAATTTTATTTTGTCTTTGTTGCTGTTTTTTGCCATCCAACATAATTATTTTGATTGGTGGGTGGTCAACAAAGTTTTAATTAGATCCAGGGGGATTCGAACAGGACTGTAGATTAAAAAAAGACCAAAAAAAAAAAAAAAAGTGGTGCTGGAACTATCATTTGCATTTGTTGTGTGACATCTTCTTTGAAATACGATGTCGCCTCCTTGCATTTCCAGTTGTGTCCTCATTTCTCCCCCCTTGCTCCTTTGCTTGGCTGCTGGGGCTGGCGAGTCAGTGCTAACATCCATGCGGGGAGGCAGTGCCACAAAGCYGACCCTGCTGCAAAGCATCCAGCAGCTCAGCCCCTGCCAAAATGAGACATTGATCCCCTGCTCATGCCAGTTCAGAAGAACAGAGCATGCATATCCTTTTTTTTTGTGGAAAGGCAAATGATTTGGGACAAGCAGTTGGCAGTGATGAGGCACTGAAGGAAGGGAAAGATCTGCACTGGGGAGTTTTCTCTGGCTGGTTATAGTTACTAATTTTTGACTGGAAAGGARTTGTTTTTATGTATTCAGTTGTCCAGAAACATCCCAGTAATTAATTAAACTGAACTGGAAGAGGAGGAGAGAAAAAGGAATATCGATTTTCTAAAAGCAGGCAGGAATGCTGTTATTTTCCAAGTAACATTCAGCATTAGAGAGCAGTCCAGCTGGAAAGAACCAACTAAGCAATACAAAGGTTTCTGGTTTTATGCACTTTTTCTTGTGAATTTTTCTTACCTTAAAAAAAAAATAAAAATAAAAAAGACAATAATAGTAATTTAGGCCAGTTCTTTGGCTGATAGGATTTAACTTGCCATAGGAAAATTAAAAGTTTTCCTTTGCTAAGGAAAACCCATATTCACCTAGTGAAGGCTGTGCCTGTTGCAGTGCTAGAGGGAAGCTGAGAGTCAAAAATATCTGAATGTAGTACTGGCGAAAAGGATGCTTGCCTCTAAATGAAATGTAATCAGAGCAGGTCTGGGATTAAAGGGGGTTGCTGCTGACCATTGCCTTTTTCTTGAGGCTTTTTCAATTTGTTTTCTGCTGTAATATCCACACCACATGACATGTGACATGACCAGAGTGATTTCTTGGCTTATCACAGTAAAGGCCCCCGTTTTCAATAGCAAAACAAAGTGACAGTGCTACACCTGGYCACCTTCAGGTACTCCCAAGTGGCTTTGTAATGAATGACTAGATCCAGGCAATGCCACCAGCAGCAGCCTTCAGCACAAATCCATCAGAGTCATGCCCCTGGATCTCCAGGAAGACTCAGCAGACATCAGATCCTGCAGATCATGTCATGGACATGCAACAATGAGCCATGGCAAAAAGGAAGCCAATGACAAGGAGAAGGGATGACACATTTTCAAATAAATATGTGCACATAAGGGTAAACACAGACACACATGCACATATAGAGAAATAGATATCCTTTTTTTAAAAATCATTTTTCCAAATTTGTATCTGAAATCTCCTCTCTTGCAAGTCATTCCTTTCCAAAGGTCAGCTAGGACTTGTGTAGGGTGAAGTCTGCTGAGAAAAGCAACAACAAATCTTGTCTAACCAACAGCATCCCCTACCTTTATATACAACTTGTGCCTCTCCTCCAAAGCATTCAGAGCAATCTGACTGAGGAAGGTCCACAATGGATCTTTCACCTGTGTGGGAAAAAATCATCAAAATTGAACCCTGCTCTCATCCCTTCTGGATTTCGCAAACTCATCCCACACATGGGTGAAACATCCCAAGTACAAKCTGAAAGCACATGAGCTACAAAACATATGAGTCAAAAAAATCACTTTTAAATGCAAAAAAAAAAAATGAAAGTCTGCCTTGGGCTCCATCAAAAGACAGGGATTAGGTGAAAGATTTGATCCTTCACATGTTACACCTACAGGAACTTCAAAACTCTGGGAAATAGGTGCCTTGCTGCTTCTGGAAGTCTTGCTGAGCATTTTCTTTTTCCTTAAAAAAAGATGTTTCCTAATCCTGTGTGCTGCATCAGCGGAGCAGGGAAGGAAGCATAGGCTCCTGGCAAGAYAGTGCTGTGCACACTGGTTGTCCCACTCCCCTGCCACCAGCCAGGCTTCACCAGGGAACCTCAGTGGGGGTAAATTATCCCAAAGCTTCAGTGGGTAGAAAAATAAAAACTTGGCAAAGTTAATGGAAATGTATAAACACTCTTTACGGTAGTGTAGAGATGGAAATGTTGCCAGATATTTCTAAACACTGTTTTGCATGAATTTCAATATATATGTTCTTATTTTACAAATATTTAGCTATCGCCACAGTTTTCCTTGAAGGGTCTAGCAAGGGCCCAGGGAGAGTGACAAAACCACTACTTTCTGCTGAGAAATGATATGCCCCGCAGTCACACTGTGTATTTAGAGTCTGGAGACAAATTTTAGGATTTATTTATAGTTTCTAATAGATGCTTTGATAATCATGTGCATAGGAATGAAAAACAAATTCTCCAGATTAAAAAGCATAAAGAAAGCTTGTTTGGATTAACACAATCAGCTGAAAGCATCCATTTGATTTATATATATATATATATATATATATATATATAAAATTTACTGAACTGCAAAATAAACATGCTCTACTGTTGCTCTGCTGAAGACTCTAGCTGTAAATATTTCATCACTTTAAAAATGTATTGCTATTAGATAGGTCTTTTAGTATTCAGCAGAATCAAGTTTTAAGTAATAAAATACAATTTTTTCCTTCTCCTGCAGGACCTTTTTTTAAATATATTAATTTGATTGGGTGAGAGCCTGTCTGCTGCCTTTTGAGACCAGGCAGGRCTCTCCCAGATGTGAGCAGGTTTCCTGCTCAGCTTTGGAGGCTCAGATCAGCTCCTGTCCTTGTGAACATCCAGGCTAAATAACAAATATCCAAAGTCTCAGCCTGCTGAGTTTCACTCCTGTTCCAAGTGAACTCTACCATGGACCCCATTGCTACAGGAAGCTGCTGAAGCTGAAATTTCATTTATCACAAATAATCCTGCTGATAAAGTAAATATCTAGTTATGACAAGTTTCTCCATCAGTGAAAATCCACAGGGGCTTCCCCGTTCAAGCAGTGCCGTGCATAGTATAGAACTAATTCTCATTAGCTGTATAATTAAGCCTGTATGTAACAGACATCTGGAGCACATCATGTAGCACAGGTAGTAAATATAAAGCCAAAATCACAGCCTGGGTTTGAGGCCAGCAAGCAGCTCCCCTACCATGAGCCTCAAATAACCATAACCTGTGCTGTGAGTTAAAACCTGTCCCAGACTAAACCTGCAAGAAATAAACGGCCTTTGCAAAACATCTCCCAAACAAGTCATAGAGTTACATCTTCTTGAATTTATATTATAATCTAATCTTTTGATTATAATGTGTCAGCTGTTTTCCAATCAGAGAACGAAGTCTCTTCTTTCACTGAGCACCGAGTCATTAAAAATGAGAAAGACACTGCTGTTCAGACTTGTGATCTCTCCTCAAACTTTTCTATTTTCCTGATTTTTTCAAATTTTCTTCTAAACATCCTGAAGAACTGTTTTGATCCTCAGGTATGAAATATCTCTGTGAAAGAAATTCCTTCCGTAGGAAATCTAAATAGCTTGGAATTTCTGCGGTTGACATAAGAGCACTTTGCATCACATGAAGAGCTCATTGAAAACTCATTAAAACTGACATTTCAAGATAGACTACTCTTGCAGAAATCTAAAAAACTTTCAGCCRGTTTTGTATCTCATCAAAACTCAAAAACAAGATACTCTGACTACTACAAATCTTTTTTTTTTTTTCCTTACTAGTCAATATTTTGCCTTTTTCTTTTTGACAAACCTCGAGTTACTGTAATGGTTCATTTCAGATCCAAATGTCGATGGAATTAAATCAAAAGTTTTATGCCTGTGGAAATATATGTATAATCTTCATATATATGTATATTGTATAATATTTCAAATTCTTATTTAGAATAATAATAATATGAAAATAAGAGGTGTTTTTCCCCTCATACACTCACCTATGTAAATTTGCTACTAGGTAGCTGAGCTGAAACTATAAACTGGTAACTGATACTACGTATCACATAGGTTGTAATTCATTCTAAAAATTAACGTACTTATGGACCATTTAGGGAACCTCAAAGGGCTGTCAAGTGTGCACGGTAGCTGCGTAAATTACTGGGGGCCCTTATGCTCCGAAGAACTCTCTCCAACCATGCCTGAATTCATAGTGAACCTCTTCTTGCGTCCAGTCCTCCTAGGAATGATCACAGTGAGTCAGGACCACCTAGGACTGCGTGCCTGAGAGTGACAAAAAAGCAGCAGCTAAGGAAAGAATAAAAACATTGGGCAGATGTGCAGAAATAAGTCTTCAAAATACCTCCAGCCTCCGGCAACTTGCAGCTCAAAGACTTCCCAGACTGAATATGGCTCATCTATGTGCAGGAATCCACAGCAAGGAGCTCCATAGCTGCATGTGGAATGAAGATCTACCTCCCTTTGTTTGCTGAGGGTGTGCCAATTTTTAAGCTATTCCTATATCTGAAAAGACGCAAAACAAGTAAATCTCCAGCTTTTTCTCACTCCTCAAGAGCAAGGACATTTATATACTCAAAGTTAAGCAGGTCTACTAGAATCTAGCCAAGCACTGGATAAAAAAGACATAAAAACTAATCAGCATTTCACATACTTCCAGGTGAAAGTTTAGAAAATCTGATTTTTTTTCCACTCTGCAAATCATCCCAATTTCAAGGGCGTTTATGCTCTGAGTTTTCACACAACACTTAGCTAAAGCATGCCTCATTAGCTCCCAGGCAAGCCTTCATGCCTCCACAACCTGAATTTCTTTCCTTACCTGCCTCAGATGGTATTTTTTTCCTCACTGTTGAAGCTTAAATTGATTTACTGCCCCCAAACACAATTCAGATGCTCTGCAGTTTCACGGCCCTTTTAAACTCCCCTCAATGGCAATGGATATGGAAGTGTTGTTCAGGTCCTCGCATTTAACATCATTTGATTTTTCTCCCTCTGTCCTCCACCTCCCTCACTTCCTCCTATTTGTATTCTCATCAGTGTCACATTAAATGCCGTGGAACACGCTTTTAGGGTAATAACAGGCCTGAAGTTTATGAAATAAAAGATTGATATCAGCTTCATAAAACTCAGGGGAAGCAATATCTTTTCTGCGTCTTGCCATCCCTTTAGCTGCAGAACCTTTATACTTTGTGGAGGGAGAGAAGTGCTTAAAAATATAAGGAAAAAAAAAGAGATATCTCCAAACAGCTGTGGGATTTCGGAACCTGGTGTGTCATTAATTTCTTTATCGCTTTAGCAGCAAGGAAGTTGCACTTACTTGCTTCTTTGTGTATTTCAGTGSTGTATTTTTTTCAAGAATCTTGGGAATCTTTTTCCTTAAATGTCACTAGATTCTGAAACGCTCAGGCTTTGTAACCAGTGGTGTGTAGTCACCACATACTGAAAGGGCAGAGGATGAAGAAACCACCTATTATCACAGATAAATAGAGCARTATTATCAGGATGAAAGGAGGAACTAAGCTACAGAGTCAGGCTGATATTTTGCCCAGATGCCCAGGCTGGTGACGTCTGAGTGCCATCATGAGAAGTGCCTGATCAAAACAAATGATCTTGCTGACCTATTTTACTGGCAAGTTGTTTTCTTCCTAAATATGGACCTGAAGTTACATTTGGATCAGAGAGATACTCTCAGTATGAATCAGAGACTTTGGATACAGGACTTCATTTGGTCTTCACTTGTTTTGTCTTCCATGCAGGAAGGACCGGGGAGACAAGAAAAGACACTATATAACAGAAGCACTTAACTGTATGGTACCTGGAGATGCTTTCTCACCAGGAAATTGTGTATCTGTTTTAAAACAGCATATCTCATATCCCTGTCCATGACCCATAGGTCTGCATACCAGTATTGTGYAGACCACATAAAAGTTTTGTGCCTGAAGTTATTCTCTTTAGCTGGCCCGCTCTGGTACTCCCAAGCAGCCTAACCTCTAGTTTACAMGTTGGAAGATTGACAAAAGTACATTTAAAATGAGGATGGACTTTTCCTTTTTTTTCCCCCTCACTTTTTTAGATAGTTACAGTTTATGTGCTGGTAATAGATTTTAAAAACAATAAAGAAGTAAAAGCCATTGTGTTTCAGATTTCTCCTAGTCTGCCTCTATTTTTTTTTCCTTTTTTAAGTACTATTTTTTGGTGCTGTCAGCTTTTCAAAACTTGCTGAAATGAACAGATGAGGGGTGGGAGAACCGAAGAAGGATGCTAACTTGCCAGAACGTCCCACTAATTCCACCAGTTTGTTGGTGTATGCCAGAAGCAATTGCAAAGCAACAAACAGGCTTTCTACRAAACACAAAATTTTACTGTTAAAATGAACCAAATTACACTGCCTCCACCTTCCACAAGTATTAACAAGCAAATTGCATCAACACAGCTATCCTCACAATAACCTGATTCTTAACGTAACAAAAACAGTGGGAGTTTCTCTGCAGGTTTTTCTGCGTGCTCAGGAGCAGTCTTCTAGGCACTGAAATCGTAGTGGTTTACAGGATATGCTAGCAGCTGCTCCTATACAGGTGCTATACAACAACCCGAGATGAAAAATAGAGATATTATTTTAAAATACAGAATTAATATAGTCACACTTTTCATCAGCCACTCTCTCCCTTCCCAAAATTTTTATTCCTAAAATGTTTTTCCACTAAATGCAACTCAGCTCAGTGACTAAYGATGTACCACTCTTGAAAAAAGGTRAGGCAGCCAGCAGGGTTGCAATGGGGAAGAAATGGCTGATGGATTCACAAACATGAGAGTGCATCATCATACGTAGTGCCCAGTMTAKACCTTCCCTCACTAATAACCAAAGCAAGACTAATAAGCCTTGGAATATCAAGGAATAAAATTGTCCTTGGAAGAATACCTCATTATTAGCATACCAAATGTTGCCTGTCCCAAAGGACTTAGGAGCAAGATGGAAAAACTTCTGCAAACCTCAGAGCTCGCTCAGAAAGAGTAATAGCAGCAGTTCTTAAGAAAAGCATATTTTAGGTTATGGGGTGAAAGGATATTACAAGCCTGAGCTAGCCACAAGGAGCTGACTCTTACAAGAGTCAGAAATGACTAATCAATTTGTAGGTTCATATCATATCCTTAATTTGTGTAAAATATTATGGGGCAGAATTCTTCTTTTTTTTTTCTGCCCAGGTCAGGTGGCCTGTCTGAGCATAGAAGAGGTTGACTAAACAGAAATAAAATAGTAATATAAAGACAGAGGGTTTGTTACAGAAAATTAGCAATATGCCAGCCCGAAATCCAGATCCAAACTTCAGAGAAAAAAATAAATAGATTGAATAAATCTTGCTGKCTGGAGAAGTGTCTTCAACCTGATGAATTAATATTGCAGTCCAAGGGCTTATTCACTGACAAGTTAAGGGAATTTTTCATTAGTGTTTAGTTACTGGATTTGACCTCTAACTCGCATTGCTTTTGCTCCCCTTGCCCACCTCCTGCAGCTGCCTAGTGCTGTCTTTTTCTTTGCTTTACAGCCTAACTGAGTTTGAAGGATAACCAATAGTAGTAACTCAGGAGCCACTCTTTGCATTTGATATGCGCTCACGATATAACATGGTTAATGTATCAAGAGACAGATGCACTCAGCAAGGGTTGCCTCAAGAGCAATCTCTATTTCTGGGTGTACTTCACGCTGCCTGGATATTCGGGTTATATTCATCTGGTCTAAGAGGCAGATGCTGTGTAAAAAGGAGACATCAAGAGAGAGGAGAGTAGGAGAAAGTACCAGGTTTACTGCATAATAATGCCAAAATTCAGTGCACAGAGGCCCATTTTGGGGACTGCCAGGCCTCAGAGCAACAYTTTACATGCTACAAGAACACTACAAGTCTGAACAAGAACAGAGAGGAAGCACAAAGATAATGTCCTGCAACAGAGACAGATAAACATTTAAATCCTTAGCTAATTGGTTCTCAACACAGTCCTCCCCTATCACCACACCAYCTTCCATTGGCTGTAGTTATCTGAAAAAAAGAGACAATTTAAGCARCTAAGAGAGTAAGAAATGATAAGTGTTAGTTTCACCAAGACCAGCCAAAAGCAGATGAAATCACACATTCATCCCAGCCTGATTGAAAGCTGATGCTCAACAATTGTAAGTGAAATCACGGACCAGGAAAAAGTTTTCTCAAAGAAAATCAACCACTGTAACAGGATTTGAAAACCACTGTAGTAGAAGTTCTTTAAAGATGAGCCTGCTCGTCCTGAAGCAGGGCAGCTGAATCCAGTTCCATATTGTTACCAAATCAACTCAAACCCAGTACAGTTCTTAAGAGTCACATAGCACTTAGGTCTAAAAATTGGAAAGGGAGTTAGGAAGGCAGCACAGAAAAAAAATGAAGAGAAAAGAATGGTCAGGGGGAACCTTATCAATGTGATTACATATCTGAAGGAAGCATATGAAGAGAGATGGAGCAGAATTTCACTGGTGCCACTGACAGGACAAGAGGCAATGGGCACAAACTGAAACAAAAAGCATTTCACTTGTATTCAAGAAAGCACTTCTTCCCTGTGAGAGTGATAGAGCATTGGAAGACATTGCCTAGAGAAACTTGTGGAGTCTCCTTCCTAAGAGATATTAAAAAAAAAAAAAAAAAAAAAAAAAAAAAAAAAAAAAAAAAACCTGCTCTAAGTGATCCTGTTTGAGCAGAATTTTGAACTAGATCATCTCATCACCGGAGGTATCTTCTTCCAGCCTCAGCTTTTCTGTGGTTCTGCAAAATGCTTAAGAGCTACTTAAGAGCTAGCTATTCTAGAGAAAGATTTGGCTGTTATTGCAGCTGAACACCATGCTATAATGACTGTTCAATTCTCACTTTAAGAGACTTCATTTCTTTCAATTCTACTTCCTAAGGACAGAAACACTGTCACCTTATYTTAAAGCTCCACAAGGGGACTGGAACAATTAACCATTCTAGAGTTTGGTTCAGAGTGAGCAAAGATTACAGACAGAAATCAGAGAATCATGCACATATGCAATGAAGAGCATACCTAAGAATGCATTTCACAGTTTTCTTTTATGTCCCTGTCTTGTCTCACCAACCCGACCTTTGAAAAGTAGAAATACAACTCTGACCATCCAGCTTCTGAATGCTCGCTTGCCCAGAATTTTTTCTCCACTGCTGTACATCAGATATGTACAGCATATGTGCTCATATGTGTCATGAGCATTTATGAACAGGGTACCAGTCATTCCCCAGCTCAGGAAAATACACTCGTGCAATGCAAGTCCACTTATATACAAATGAAGACATCAAAAAGAGCTGGGATGTGAAATCTCATTTATCTGTCTGAAGATATAAGCTTCATACCTTGACCACTAAACATCCATAGCAAAACAACTACTTT